CAGCAGTCTTCCATATCTGAGGAAAGTGAGACACCCGCATCCATTGCTTCCCGACGTAGGTCGTAGGGCAAGGCGTAAAGTAGGAATGGCACTCGCTGAACAGGCTCGAAGACTTCGAGAACTGCCTTTGTAAAGAAAAGCCAGTCATCGAAATCATTGCCTTCTTTGACGAGAGGGATGTCGACCGTCGCTGCCACCAGTATAAGAGCTGTCTGTCTACCCTCTGGTCGTTGAACTTCAGGCTTCAAGAGAGAGTTTGTATCGTCCCGAGGCTTCCCATAAGATGGAAGAAAGTCTAAGTAAGGTTGAATACATGTATTCCTGAGCGTGGCCCGAAGACCAACCCCTGTGTACAGGGGCCAGACAAACTCTAAAGTGACTGCCAAACGTCATGTGGTCACATAAACAGAGTATTACACTGCCCCTCTCTTCTTTTAGTGACGTCCTTGGCGTTCCCCTTTAGTACACCTCCCGCACCAGCCATCACAACACATTCAGTACTACAAGAAAGCACCCACGAGCTAACCGCGCCAGTCGGCAGACAACACGAGAGACAGGGACCGTACCTGATCTTCTCGGCAGCTCCAACTGGATCTGGAGTTACGTTCGGTCTGACAACCAGATCCGGTGCCACCTACACATGTTGACCATCAATTGCTTCCAGGAATAGACGGTGGAACTCTGGTCTACAACAAATATGTTGCAGGGATAACGGAACGAGCCACTGTTTCGTAAGCGAGGAGAACCGTAGTGTCATTTCCGACACCTAAACACGGATTTTGTGTGGGAAACTCCAACACGAAACTTTTCCAGAAAGTTCACGGCGGTGTCGCTTCAGTTGGTAATAGCTTGTTTATGAAACATGGGAATAAGGTGAAACCAAATGCAGACGTCAGTCTCAACCCTTTCGTTGTGAAGGATTCAGAGATTAACCGTCAGCAAGGTAAATACGCCTCCTTCAATTCACGTCCTTTTTCGCCTGTATCTTTATCTATTACACTTCGATAGAGTCAGACTTTCTACGCATGCACAGCTCATGATTGCCAGAATGCGCTTATTAATTTTGGATTTCTCCACTAAAAAGTAGAATTCCTTTGCAGTCATGAAAAGAGAGGTTCTGACTTTCCGACCGAGGGAACTCGATTTTGAGGCATTTGCATGCATCGAACCAGTGCACTATCCCACCGAACCGTTGCTCGTCGGCTTGTTCGTGCTGTTGTTTTCCGGAAATCGGTCGACTAATTGGCAGTTTAGCAAAACAAACTTAGGGTGCCAGTAAGACAGCGGTGTCTGTTGGGCAATTAATTTGCCCACACACGATGTCGCTTTCGAAAGCACCTTACACCTAAAAGTCTTTAAGAAAACGTCGGGTTCGCTTTCCGCTGCCACCAGTGTAGCGTCCGAAGACGACAGGGCTAATGGGCCTGAGCGTGGCCCGGAGGCCAGCCCCTAAGTTGGTTGCAGACGGTTTATTAGGCACTTGTTGTAGGAAAAAAGGGAAAGGGATGCAGATGAGGCAAGTAGGAGAGATCAATTGGAGGTAGAGTCCTCACCGGCTTCACGCACGTAATTCGCGTTGCCAATTTGTTCTCATCTATCAAAGAACACTTAAATAAACTAGTATATTTTACACAAACCTCACTCACTGTCTTCCTACACCCAGTGAGAAGTCTTGGATGCCACACTGGTGGCAGCGGAAAGCGAACCCGACGTTTGTTAACGACCTCTTCCCTAGCACGAACCGTTTGTTGCATGTACCTGGGCGCAGGAGATACACTTAACTTGGTGGCGGGACAACCTCTAAATAATTCACAACTAAAGGATTTAGACTGACAAGCTATTAGCAATTGAAGCGACACCTACGTGAACCATATGGAAAAGATTCGTGTCAGAATTTTTCATACAAAATCCGTATTTGGGCTTCGGAAATGACACTACGGTTCTCCTTGCATACGAGACAGTGGCCCATTCCGTTTTCCTTGTAGCATATCTGTTTTAGACCAGAGTTCGACCATTTTGTCCAAAGCAATTGATGGTCAACAGGTGTGTGTGGCTTAAAATCTGGCCGTCGGACCGAATATAACTTCATATACAGTTGAAACTACGAAGGAGACCAGGTATGTTTCCTTAGTCTCGTGCTATTTGTCGACTGGAGCGGATGGCTCGTGAGTGCTTTCAGGTAGTACCAAATATGTTGTGATGGTTAATGCTGGAGGAATACCAAAAGGACCACCAAGGATGTCCCTCAAAAGAAGAGAGGAGTAGTGTACTGCTTTGTTTATTTGACCACATGATGTTTGGCGGTGACTTTAAAATTTGTCAAGCCTTTGTGTTTGTGGGCCGGCCTTCGGGCCATGCTCAGGCCCATTTGCTCTGCTCTCTTCAAAATACATGTATCCAACCTCACTCACTGCTTTCTTCCATCCGGTGAGAAGCCTCAGGGGTGCTTTGCCAACCTTCAACGAATTTTCTAGATTTACTTCTTCGAAATTATCATTTCACGGAATTATTTAGTGACTAAATACCAAATCAAAAAAATATATTGAAAACATGTTGTAGCTAAGAAAACGTTCTCGGCAGTAAAGGATACCTTACTACTCCTCTTTATCAAAAGCAAAGTAGGTCCTGTCTTGCAAAAGCTTTGTTTAAGCAATCATCAAAGTACACGGGTTGTATAAATAGGAGTGGGATCGTATACATAGTCATGTGTCGTTCCCGCCCTTGATGCAAGTGTCTGTATAGAGGATTTTGTGCTTTGGAAGTTCATATTCTACAGAAACTATTCTTGGAAATCAGCAACATTTATTTTTCCGTCCTATTTCTGGCCGATATCCTGATGAATGCTGCCTTCATTCTTGCCACATTATTTTGAACCATGGATAAGGTGACGCATATCCCGGTTGTGGAACTTAATCATCTACTCACTTGTCATCTCTGCAAAGGCTACATCATTGATGCAACTACAGTCGTTGAATGTCTACATTCCTTTTGCAAAACTTGCATTATTAACTACCTTGACAACCATAATACATGCCCTGTTTGTGATACTCTCCTTCACAAAACGCGTCCCCAATGTGCTATCCGCTCAGACTCTGCTATGCAGGCTATAGTATATAAGTTGCTTCCCAAGGTATTCGATCGCGAAATGGCTTCAAGAAGAAACTTTTATAATTGTAAGTTAGAACTCTCGAATCTTGGTTGCTATTCCAGTGACATTAAAACATTATGGGCCTATGAGTGTTTAATGGTCACTAACTTTGGGCGAACTCTCTATAATTCTTCTATGTCAAAGTTTTAAAATTAAACCCAAGCAGATGCCTTTCGTGATTTCCCTTGCTGACACGGGAACTTTAACTATTCACTAAACCATGGATTTCTCTTATACCTTCAAATTAGGCATTTAAAATGTATTGAGTCTTTCGAAGCTCAGATTTGGTATTGCCCTGCATGCGTCCTACTGTGTGCCATATCTGGAATTTTGGCTCACTGACTTGTTTCCAAACGTTTGAAGATTTTTGTTGTACATACATGGAATAATGAATTACTTCATTATTTGTGTGTTGTTAAGGCGAGGACAAAGATTCGCGTATTATAAGTTTTAGCTCGAGGAGGTCAGTCACTCAAGATGTGTCTTCCATGCTTCAGAGTAAACGGCTTGGATTGAGTACTGGGTATTCTTGAGCAATGGAAGTGTGAAGTGGAGAGAATGCACTTAGTCTTGTTGTCTTACCTAGTGGTGTTCTATTTGCAGGAGTTTGTAACGTACGGATGAGAGCCTTTTTTAAAACATTCTATCCGATTCATAAAAGAAACTAGGCGGTTTAGTTGGCCTTTTCGTTGGATCATGTTTTTCATCCTTTGGTAAAGGTTCCTTTTGGAGGAACTTCGTTTTGAACTTTTCATGTTGCTGTAATGTTTTATACTAAAAGGAAGACTAACTGGCCCGGAAAGGCTGAAAGTCTGACAGTGACAAATGTAGCTAATCACTTTTTTGGGTTTCGACTTTATGCCATCATCACAAGACTATCTAGCCGACTTAATTTCGAATAGAAATGGGACAGTTTTCCATTACCACAACAAGTGTTTCGACTTCAACGGCGATTCAAATCGCCAATTGCGCTCTAGGTTACTTTCTACACTCCTTTTTACCTCAGATATCTGTCTATCCGACTTTTAATTTCGTCAATAGGTGCCGTTGCTGCAGAATTCTAATCCTTCCCTTATTTGCAATCCTGGGTATCCGCATCTTCCTTCTCTTTGCAGTACTAAAGCTAACCATATTAGCACTAAAGTAGATTTAAGTACGCTTCCTCAGCATAGGCCCTAAACTGTTCCTGCATGTTATTGGACGTAAAAATGCGAATCTGCCTTTACTTTGATGGGTGCTGGTGACAACAGGGTTCCATTATAGTCAGTTGGGTACTCGGGTCGTTAATACTGAAAAGGCTTACGCAACTGGGTATCAGTGTTTTCCTAGTTGGAACGATCCTTTTACAATTTCTTTTACTAATTTTTAAGGCTACTGGTACATGATCTTCGACGTACTTTCGTAGCAGTAGATACAGATGAGTTCATGAATGGGAATGTGGTGTGCTGTTCTGAAACTACAACGCACCAAGTGATTCACTCACTTGAGGATTGCACATGATTTCTACTTTTCATAATTTATTCAACTGATACTCAATGTGTTCGTTTGGCCTGCGATTTGATGTAAACCGTGATCGGATACTCAGGAGACAGGAGTCATGATTTCTAGCCAGGTTCATGTAAAATGATTTGTCATTGTTTCTCATTCTCACTAGCTCTTCACCCGGATGAGCGTGGTCTTCTTAGCCCCGAGAAGCGCGGTGACATTAGTCTGAATGCGTATGTTGAGAAAGAGGAGGAGCGCGTTAGCATTGAGTTAAGTCTCTGGCGTGATCGATGCGGTCCGACGCCTCCAGCAAGCATCCAGTCTACTACTTACCTTCTCTGCCCTCCTGCCCTCACCGTCGGCCATCTAGAGAAGCTCGTTCGTCTCAAATTCGACCTTCCATCGACTCAGCACGCAGTGGAGTTCTTTTTTTTAGACAACAGCGGTGTCAGCGGGGGAGAGCGGTTCACATCAGAATTCACGCTCTCGGACCTGGTGTGTATATACTCCTGCACACACTCCTGGGTACGTGCGAAACGAAATGGATATGCTGGTGGCGAGGCAAGGCCTATGAAGCTCTTCTTCTCCGTCTTACCGATTTCACCAAAAGCACTGGAAACGGCGGAGGAAGCAATCACCTCCACCAGTACTGTTGCTACGACCGCCGCCACGGTTGCTAGCAATCCTATCGCTCTGTCAACTGGTTAGGGATTACTGAAAGAAGTGACAAAGCGTTGCTCACATTCCGTGTTCGAGTTGAATTGGAAATGAAAATGCCTCCGTAATTACGCCCATTGTACTTCCTCCTTCATTATGTGTGCATGTGTGACGAGTTGTACAAAATTGTATTTGGTGAAGAATAGAAGGTTGTATTATAATCTCAGAGTATGACTTGTGGCCTTTGTTTGTCTTTCAACAAGTGGATTGGGCTTGTACTTTATCGAACTTCCATTTGACCGGATATTTTGAAGTTGGTTATTGTAGGTTCGACACTGTGCCGAATGACAGCCCTTGTTTACTAAGTGGTAACTTTTCACGGTCCAAGTAATGCAACCACTGTGGGCTTTACTTTTATATTTTTGGTATATTGAGTAGGGTACTTTGTTTTTCTGTTTGACCCCTCAAGAGTAAGTAGCTTATTTGATTGTCTCACCGAACAGTTCCGTTTTTTGTATGCGCTAAACTTGAATGACATCCTGGCGGATTACCAACTGCTCTTCAGTCTGTTGTTTGTTCCTTCATCTGGCGACGTTTTCATTCGTTAATAACTAACGTTTCGTATTGCCACGCCTTATTGCCACCCCAGAGAGGATTGACGGATCAAGGACTCCACCTGAAGACGGTAGGAAGTGGTCTAGGGTTGTTTCTTAGATCGTACCTCACTTGAAGAGGTGTTGTTGGGGGACGACGTGCAATGCGAATGAGGATAAAGCAGCTTTTGCCACCGCCTTGGCCTCACTCCAAATTCCGCCTTAAAAATTTCTCATGCGTAAGATTCTCAGTGTGAGACTATGGATCTCACATTGACTTGCAAGAATAGGGTTTAGCCTTTCTTCCCACTGATTCTTTGTGCTTTTGAGAGTAGATAGGATCTTGCAGTCCTCGGCTCTGTAACACCGATCTGTACCGAACGAGCCCATTTCGATTGTGTGTGGTACTGACAGTTGATTCCCTTAGGTAGAAGTTGTCAATCCAAGCAACACAACTACCTCTCATTTCAAGGTCTTCGTCTAAGAGAGGCGAAAAGAATAATGTGTTTGCGTTTTGCTCCGGATTTAAATTTCCTTTTTCACGTGACTTGGGGGACGGAAAAAGTGTCTGTGACTCGGTTTTGTCTACGCAATGCATTGACACTGGCTCGTATTTTTTTCGTAGCAAAGGACGTCTGAGTGTTCAGGGCATTTGTCACCAACTTCAAAACATTTGTGACATTCGGTTCTGCGAGGAGATGCTCTGCTACACCTAAAGTTCTGAGACCGAGTTTAGGCGTTTTGTGGGTTCGACGGATCGGAGGAGCAAAGTAAGGGTTTTAAAAGACGCTACAGTTGCTTGTAGTGCACCGCATTCCTGATGGTGGATAAATGCGATTATCCTCCGTGCCAGACCCATTCCAGTGGAAATACCACCACGTCAAGCAGAGCTGTTGCAGTGAAGACGTTTAAGGATCGCACCATTTCACTGCACTACTTAAAACTGCCGCCTCAGCAAGACGGCGCAAAACAGTGCCGACCAGGTAGTCGCATAAATCCAACTGAGAAATTGTGGAACCGTTCCTCCCCTTTTTAATCCGACAAGATAACCTACATTGTCACCTTTGCCCTGAAATGAGCTGTCAATTGAGCGTGTTCAACCGCCATCGGACCGGGCTCTCTCTCTCGACCAGTTGTTCCGTAAATGGCGACATGCTATAGGTTTGCTGAAATCCTAAATTCCGTCAGAAATATACTTTTCCATCCCGAGAATGGGTGTCATAACTGTCACACCTATCGACGTAGTCTTATCACTTCTCCCTAACCTTAAGATGGCATGAAAAAGTGGGTTTCTGGGATGCGACTAAAGGTCAAAGTTCGCAGCGAATCGTCAGTTGTTTGACAAATTTTATGACCAACACCCATCTTTGCCTTGAAAGTTATTATGAGTGAAGATGATGCGACGTGGAGTCAGTGAGGAGTTCCGTCGCCTCCTTCCATCATCATCATCCTCAAGAAACACTTCTTTTCACCATTTCTTTCTTCCACAATCCCTCCTCCATCTGTTCTCCACTTTCACCAACCCCAGAAAGAATCTATCAAAACTTCAGTAGTGAAATTCCGTCATGTTTTTTGTTTCTTTTTTTCCATAGACATTAACAGTAGGCCGACTGCTGATTAATCACATGCAAATGAGTGATAACGTAAGTAACAAGAGAGTCTACCAACCTTGTCAAATCACGACGAATGACAGTCCTCACCTCGAGTAAAGTCCCTTCGACAGGTAAACAGAGAACAACGCTCGTTCAATCACTTCAAACCAAAGCTAGAAGGAATGAATGCCTTTGGTTTTCCTGTTCGCTATCCACACAATGACAATTGGGGAACAATCGTCTCCACTGAAACATCGTGCATACTGCGAGGTGGGTCCAGTGACAGTTTACCACAACGAACAGTCAGTGTATCGAAACAGTTTCCTTTCATTGGTTCGCTATGCGCAACTTGTCAAACATGGCTGTCAAATCAGCTGGTTGTCACTTTTTAATATGCCACTGCCAATCACCTTGCCTGCAGGTAATGCGTAGATTTCTTTTAGCCACCCTTCCATCCACATTTGTCCGTTAATCTCTCCTTTATGCATGCATTCGTCTCATTCCTGCGTTGCAAAAAGTTAAGTCAATCTTTTTTTAATGTGAAATGATTTATCCCCCAAAATTGTGCCCATTCTAATGCTGACATCGGCGTCGGAGGGACCTCCTGAGGTATCGCTCGCCATTAATCTTGCATACGAATTGCACTTAGTCCTGGTGGGACTTGGACCCTTCTTTATCCCATGCTTCCTGCCGTGTCTTGATTTTCAGCGACCACCTCGCCGATTGAGTGACTGCAACAGTTGTTGCAGTGTCTGGTGCAATGCCTCATTCCCCACGCCTTCTTTGCCTAACCTTGATAGTATTTTAACTAGGAAATCGTCAACTCCATTTTGGTGCAGATCCATCCATTCTCCACGTCAGGTGCGTGTTACTAGGCGGTTAGTTTTCCAGTCCTCCAAACCCGAGTCCTCGGTCACATTTGCAACGCCAATAAGTTCGTATCGAGTGTTTCTTATGACTCAAGCTAATGCTGGCATTTTCAGTGGTCACAAGAATCATGGATACCTTTCAAACATGGCCCTTTGTAGTTAGCACTTGTTAGTGTTACTTTGAAAGGCGGCTCATTGTGGAAGAAAGCTTATGCGGCACCATCTAACGTCCTAATGATAACATTATCCTGAATACACATTCATCCACCCGAATTTCACTACTGTTTAATGCTGCCAAGATGCGCTAATCGCTGCCATGTCGTGTGTGCATAGACCTAACGCAGAATCCTGGTAAAGTAAAGGTTACAACCACGAATTGGTTAAAGTGATGCACACACGACATGTGACCACACAAACGAAAATACGTAACTGTCGACTGTCACTTGCCAACCTTGTGAATTCATCCTTTGCAACGAGACTTTGTGCATTGACCTTAACCCTGGAATTAGTCAATGCTATGACCCTTCCTTTTGCTCCATGGTAATTTTGATGTTCTACTATGAGCGAATTTAATATCGAACACATATTAACACAAACTCGGACTTTGCTTCCATCCGAATCTGCTAAGATCCCACAGCCCCAAATACATCTAATCATTGATGGTTCTTTAGGCGTCGGCTTTGTTGCATGTGTGCATACAGAGGGTTTCTCCTTGCTACTAACTACTTATTATCCAAATCAGTAGAGAGGGTAAGGAAAGGACTTCAGTTTAGACTTAACACTATTTTAAAGTGCTGTGATAATCAATTTAACTCGTTCTGATTGCTTAAATAAGATTCAATTGGCAAGTAAAATGTCTTAAAGCAACCCTAAGCATGAGACACAGGTAGCGCAAGTCTTCTACGCAATTGATAGACTAAAAGGGAAAGGAACTACGCTTTTGGATGGATGCATTTAAGTACGTAAAGTTAGCACTCTCTCTGCCACTGTTCGGGTCACGGCAATTTTTGGCTTGCATGCGCCGTGGAAATTCTTGCGAGTGTACACATTCAGCCTTCCTCTGATTAGCTAAGTAACATAGCCACGGTGGTGTATCCATAATGCTGACGAAATGCAGCAAACTACCTAGACTTTTTCTCTGACAGGACTTTCTAGGCACTAGTTAATGCTTGACTAGGCGCGTAAGTATAACAAGAGGCTGTAATAAATGGGTGTGCTGTCTTACCCCTCGTACTTTGTTTATTTCTCCATTCACAAATCCCGAGTCGACTTGAATGATGTCTTGCATTCACTAAATCATGCCATTTTTCATGGAATATATTTCTACATTATACTCTAACCCACCAACATTCAATGCGTTGTATTGACTTGTTAGGAGGCTTTGCATATTTATTTTTGCCAAACACGTAGCCACAAGCATGTAGCTGGTTACTTCAAATAGTGTTTCGAGCTCTCAACTCCCATTGGCTAGAACTGTCAAACGCCACCTTTTGTCTTACTATGAGTGAGCTAAAAGTTGAACTTTTTAGATCTGACTTTGTCGAAAATAGACTTCTGTGATTACTTTATTTGACACTATCATGCGACAACGTTGAAGGCCATCTAAAACAAGGGAATCACCTTAGTCCAATATGAGGTTTGCACTGCCTTGGTTATTGAATCATAAGATGAAAGGAATGTAAATGATGCTTCGTTGGAGTAGCCCTAATAAGCCCTATCCCACTCGTAAACTGGAAATTAGTCATGTTTGCCATCAATTCATTAAAATTTTTGGAAACAACTGCCATAGCTGCGCAAAGTCCCCGTCAAAAGGGGAGATCGTAAGTAAGGTTAAAAATACTTGTGTGGTACCCTGTGCAAGGAGAGAAAACGTCAACTTGTCACAGTGTGAGTTTGATGGGTCAGATTATGCCTCAATGTAAGTGGCCATCCCACCCAAATTGCGTATTGCCAAGACGCAATTCTCAAAATTACCCTCCAGACTTGCCCTTAGCTGC